ATGGAGCACGATGTACCTTCCTTTCAGTTTTTAACTGCCCCCCAGATCTGGTCTGTTAAAGTGTTTGAAAACATGTGTCCAATATTGCAAAGGGCAATAGTCTACAGCTAAAAGTCAGCTTTCTAACCAGACTCCCTTGCTGGCAGCTGGCAGCTATGTGACTCTGGGCGTTAGTTTTCCCATCGCTAAGTGGGTGTAAGTATGATAGTATGTCTCACAGTTCTTTGAGAACTAAATAAGCTAAGCTAATCAAACATACCACATCAGAGGTATATCCCATTGACTGTGCCTATCTTAAATGTTTTAAGAAATATTTGATAGAAAGCACAGTTCTGAAATCCCATCATTACCTCCTCCATTTTTACAAGAAGAAGAATGGATGGCTGGTTTTAAAATTTGATGTCTCTTAAATATTTTCTACATGTTAGGAAGGGAGCCTCTCTTTGTACAAAAGATGTTGACAGTCAAATCTCATAGCATATTAAAAATTCTAGAGAGGTTTTGGGGTAACTCAACCAGTAAGGTGCTTGCCATGTATTCTGGAAGACCTGAATTCATCCCCAGGACCCATATAAGCAAGCTTGGTAATCATGGTTACAATATTATTGCTGAGGAGAGAGAAATAGGCAGCTCCCCAGGGCTTGTGGCCAGCCAGTGTAGACTTGTTTGGTCTGGGCGTTCCAGGTCAAAGATAGACCCTGTCCCAGAAGCAAGGCAAGTGTCACCTGAGGAATGACACCCTCAGTTTTCCTCTGTCCTCTGCATGTACACACATGTACCCTCACACATGCATGCTTGCCTGCTCCTGTGCACACACAGATGGTGCTGTAGGATGCCTTCTGTAATTGCAAATGACATCATCTCCAAATCCATCAAGCAAGGTTCCACCCTCATCTGATTCTCTGTCTTTTCAATATATAGTTGTGACACTGGCAGTGTGACCCTGAGGCACTCATTCTGTTGCCTCATGAAACAACCATGTTTTCCTCTTTCAGAAAAGATTTTTTAAAAAATACCCATAAACAGAAACTCTGTCACTCTTCTCCCAATACTCCAACCACTCCCCGAACTTTGGAGACCACCACCTTCCAGAGTTAAAGAGGGTGACTTAACTTAGTGGCCTGCAGCTTGACCTTGTTCTTTGGCCTATATAGGACCCCTGCATTTCCCCAGGTTACATGGAGGGAAGGATGTCATCCTGGATAGCCAATCACAGTATTTATAAGAAAGCAGCCATGAAGCTTGTAGGGAGATATTGATGTGGCCAGCTTGTGAAGTCTCTCATTCTTGCCGTTGTGCTGTTTTTCTTTCTTTTCCGGCAGTGGGATCTTTCTGCGCGTGCACGAGTTCTAACAATAACACGTACTGGTGTTTGCGTACAGTTAATGAGACACACAATTTTCTCTTTTGTGAGTTTGCTACTGGCTTCCTGGAGTATTTTGACATGAATACGGATCCTTATCAGGTAAGACAATGTTTTTGTTTAACAAGGGTGGTTGGAAATGGGATAACCAGACATGTGCTTGAGTCCATATTCTCTCCCACTTCGTCCACAGCTCACAAATACAGTACACACAGTAGAGCGGGGCATTTTGAATCAGCTACACATACAGCTAATGGAGCTCCGAAGCTGTCAAGGGTATAAACAGTGCAACCCAAGACCCAAGAGCCTTGACATTGGTAAGAAAACGTATTACTTCTGTCGTATTCAGAACATTCTCTGTATTATCAAGATTTCTCCTTTTGACACATTTCCATGTATGAGCATATAGTTTAGGGTACTTACAGAGAAACTTTGTAAATAGTTCCAAACAGAATTTGATATCAAAGTTTCTCACTCTGAGTACAGTGATAGGAAGCTGAACTTACTGAAAGATCGAGTGTGAGTTGCCCTCCAATCTCTTGCATCTATCCACTGTATCAGAAGACCTCGGTTTCTGACAGAAGCATTCATGGGGAGGTGAAATTAAGGCTTTGGGGATTTCTTGTGGTTGCCTTTAACAGTTCTTAGTAAACCAGAAGCTCTGTTACAGTTCGCTTGGTAGAGACACACAGTGCCCTGCTTTTCCTTGTCATCATCCAGAACCGTCCACCCCTGTCTGAATCCCTGCCCAAGACAAGGGAATTACATTTCTTTTATCACCATCTTCCATTTGAAGATACAAATATTTAGGAAGCTCATTAATTTGGAATCTGAAATGCTGCTGGAAAGATGTTCCCCACCCTGCCCTGCTGTGTGTGCCTGTTTTCTCCATTGGGTTTATGTAGATGTGGCTCTTTGCATTGTTTGTTCAACCTTTGCCTTGCCACTGAGAAAAATCATTGTCTATACCATCTATGTAGAAATATAAATGTCAGCTATTCACAGAGAGGAAGAAAAGAACTGGAGATGAACCTGACATCCCTACAGAATGACAAGCTCAAGTCACTGACTTTGGAAAGCAGTTTGCAGGAGCCCCCATACCCTTCGTGAGACACATTCTTACTGTACATAGCTGGGTTGGCCTCCAGTTTACTGTGCAGCCCAGTATGGCCAGTTTCCCAGTGTTGAGAATATAGGTATAAGTTAAATGCCTGACTTGCAAGGGCAATCTCTCTCTCTCTCTCTCTCTCTCTCTCTCTCTCTCTCTCTCTCTGTCTGTCTCTTTTTCTTTCTCTCTGGTTCTGATTATAAACACATGTCTGTGTCTATATACAGGCTCTTGCACATGACTGCAATGCAGAAGAGGCCCGAGTAGAATGCCAGAATCCCCTGGTACAAGAGCTACAGGCAATTTCAAGCCACCTGACGTGGCATTAGAAACCAAACTCTGGTCTCTGGAAGAGCACTATATGCTCTTAACCAGTGAGCTATTTTTTTCTGCATCTCAGATGGAGCATATTTAATGCAACCAAATCTCATCCTGTGGTTTGCAGGTCCTGTGTAAAGTCAGCATCCCTAGCAATAAAAATGACATGGTCATGTCACTTTGTGGTAGTTACATTTTGTTGCTGTGATAAAATGTCATAACCAACAGCCATTTATGGAAGAAAGATATTGTTTTGGTTTACAGTTCCAAGGGGAAAAGAGTCCACCAGGATAAGGCAGCATGGTAGCAAGTGGTAGACAATGTGGCTGGAGCAGGAAGCTGAACCACAAATAAGAAACAGAGAGAGAGAAGAGCAAGTGAGGTGACATTATAAACACTCAAAGCCCACCACCAGTGATATACTTCCTCCTGCAAGACTCCATCTCCCCAAGGTTCTATAACCTCCCCCAAAAGCTCCTTCAACTCTGTGTTCAAACATCCGACCTGATGGGGACCACAGACTTGAAGGGAGCAATGAGGTTCTCCCAAAATGATCAACCCACTTGCTTGTCATTTCCACCACTGTAGGGTCTAGATTAACAACCTATAAGAAAGTCCCATGAAGTGTCGAGGCTCATTTCTCCATCAACACATAGGGAAAATTACCCAAGCACGAACCAGGCCTGCAAAGCGGGTCTTTGGCGGCTTACTTCACTTAGCTTAAAGCTAAGTGGAAATATTGTGTGTATATGCTGACTTTTTTTCAGAAATCAAAGAAAGAAAACAAGGAAAGAAAAAGAGAGATGAAAAGCAGAAGAAAAGCCAACCTATAAAGGCCTGAGATCTAAGGCAAACTATTACAAGCATTAGAAATATTACACATAGCTATCACTCCCCTAAAGAATATAGCTGATGACTTACCAGCTCCACTGTGAGAAACTTGATAGGGTCCTTAATAGTGAAATGACAGGCCAAGTGGGACCTAGTTATTGCTGTGTGCTTTAAGTAGACACCTCCAGCGCCTGGACTGTTCCTGTGGGAGATTATTACTGGCCTCTCTTTTCAAGCACCACCTCCATCTCTCCACCCCTGCAAAACAATGTTTTTAATTTACTCAGAACTACATGAACTTCTGGAAACACTTTTCCCACTGCTTTCTTGTTCTCAACCAATTTTGTCTTTTTACATTTTTTTTTTGCCTAAAGCCTTTTTATTCTTAGCACCCAGTCCTTTTGAGACTAATAGACTATTCCATTGGATGTCAAGGCTGCCTGTATTTAACACAGTATGTTTCTTTCTAGGATTTAGATGTATTCATGGAAACTGCATAGTGAAAGGTCCTATGAGTTCTAAAGCTAACTGATTCCTCTTCTATTTTCCTACATCAGGAACTAAAGATGGAGGAAGCTATGACCTACACAGGTATTCACACTTGTTTATTCTCAACAGCATCTTTCCCATAATTGCATGATCCGTCATTTCCACTAGTTTCTGTTTCTTGCCATCTTGCACAGAGCATAAGTTGTGGTGCATGTGTGTCCTAACGCCTCCCTGGCTCCAGGCCCTTCATTCTGCTTCTAAATCAATTCAGCTGCCCCCCACGAGATGCCCTCTGAGCATTTGCTCTCCGCTGTGCATGCCATGCCTGTTTGCTTGTTGAATGATGCTTTGAAACAAGGAATGCTGCGACAGGAGAATGGATGGTGGCCTCTGGGAGAGCAGGGAGATTGATTTCCTGTGTTTGATTTTCACAACTGGGTAGAGAAGCTGCATGGAACTGAGAGATTTTTTTTTTTCATTTAAGAATACAGCTAATAATTAAAAAAAAAAGGACTAAGGGAAATTTTGAGAAGACTCTGAAGCTGAAGTCAAAGACAAAGAGAACTCAGATGGCTCTGCAGGGTGGAGGGGAATGAAGAGAAGGTGCCAGGGGTGAGGGACAAGGTATTCAGGGTCAAGAAGCATGTTCCCAACACACACGAGAACAATAGTCCTGACACATGAAACTTTACAAATAGCCTTCACCTTGACATACTGCCCCTCCCCTTAACCCATACCCTTGGCTCATACATGAAGGAGGCAGTACACCTGGGAACTTGTCCACACATCATCCAGAAATGTCATTCATTGCTGATTTTCTACCCTGAGCCTAGGCCTTTGGAGGATTTATCTGAAATGTGCCATTTTGGGGTGAGGTCTATCCTTAGGATCAGCACTAATGGGGACCCTGGGGGTTTGCACTCACTTAAACAGCAACTTCCTACCAATACAGGATGCATTCCTTGGCACCATCCACACTGATACGTCCTCAGAGAAACTGGAGAATATTGTCATCGCAAAGACCCCTGGTGAAACCTCCCATCAACTTCCTGAGCCAGGGTCTCCCATGCTTCCCTTTAGAAGCAACTCATTGTTTCAGAGAAACTAAGTGACATCAGGAAAGGCAGAAAAGAAAGCTGGGCTACTGGGGCATTTTATGTTTGCTTCTCCATCCTCCATCTGCCCCTGCCCCAACCCTGCGTCACCCACAGGAAATATAAATAAGACAGAGCAAAGCTTTCTCTTAAGCTAGCCATTCCCAGGAATGGGATGACAAGGCACTGTCCTCTACACCTGAACTGTCACCTGCTTTCCAGTGTGTTAAGACATTTCCAAAGAATGACATTATAAATGGACTTAACATTAAATATGGACATTACAGTTACTTTATATAATTCCAATTTATGCTCAAGGATATTCAGTCTCCTGTGTATTGTTTGTGTCATGAAAGAGGTTAAAGAGTATTAAAAGGTTAGTTAAGGCATGTGCCTACCCATAACTCAGTCACAGTTACTCCCCATGGCAAAATGAAGTTAACCTAGATGACAATGAAGAGAAGGACATTTGACTTCACTTGGAGTGTAATTAAGTGATGGACATGTGATACTCCCCGCTTCCCTGGTGCCTGCCACCTCCACTCAAAGGTTCAATAACCCCTAATTTGTAACCATTTTGGCACAGCCTTGGCAACTTCAGCTGCGGAAAGGTGCTTGCAGGATGACACAATGTCCCCAGATGCTCTTTTTGCTCTGTTCCAACTCCTCACCAAATGGCAAGTTTAGCCGATGCTTTATAGGTCAAAATCACTGTTAGCATCTGTCTTAGTTACTTTTCAATTTCTGTGATAAGACACTACAACATGGGAAGCTCATATGAGTTTATGTGAGGCTTACAGTTTCAGAGGGTTAGATGGTCATCACAGTGGGGAGCATGGCAGCAGATGGGCAAGCATGACATTGGAGCAGTAGCTAAGAGCTCACATCTCAATCCACAAGCAGGAGGCAAAAGAGAAAGGCAAGAATCTCTTTGCAAGCTCAAAGCCCACCCCCACTGATACACCTCTCCTAACAAGGCCACACCTAATCCTTCCCAAACAGTTCCACCACCAAGTACTCAAATATATAAGCCTATGAGGGCCATTCTCATTCAAACCACCACAGTATTTGACCCCAGTGTCTCAGAACCATGGAGGCAAACTGACTTCCAATGAATGTCTGTGCTTCTCATGGGGAATCTTAGTTACTAAGAGGTCACTGTCTTGTCACACCAGAGGCCTCAGCAATCCCCAGGGCAGGGTTGGGTGTGGGCTTCCTCCCTCACAGGTCTTTGTTGATTAAAGAGAACATGGGTAAAAGGAGCCTCTGTGTGAGTAGAACTATTTCAAATGCTGCTGTTTTCAAATAGTATTTACCCTTCCAAAGAACTCCATTGATGGCACACCTCAGGGTGTCTTGGCAAGCTTTCATTCCCTAAGGTTTTTATAGCTGTAGATAACAAACTAAAACTAGGTTTAAAATATTTAGTTAGTTATCAATTAATT